GCTCTGAAAACTTCTAAGGAGGACTTGTCAGGTGCCGGGCCCCTGGTCCTAAAGATGCTCTAGGATGTGGAGCATGGATATGCACAGCCACCCTGAGGCTTAGAGGAGGCATGGGGTGGAGCAGAGGGCATCTTGAAGGAGGAGACGTTAGATCAGGGCCATGAAGGTTAAATAAGAGTTCAGCAGTCAGGGATGAATACATTCCTGTTGGCTATTGTGGGAGAGAGACAGAGACAGAGTGAGAGATAGTCTCACACACACACAGAGAGAGAGAGAGAGAGAGAGGGAGAGAGAGAGAGAGAGAGAGAGAGAGAGAGAGAGAGAGAGAGAGAGAGGACCATTCCCAAACGTCGGTTTAACCAGCGCCATCGAGGTCAATTTTCTTGGTGGCTTTAGACAATGTTAGGAAGTCGCAGTCTGTTCTGCCATTATACAGTGAGAAAACCATCGGCTACTACGGACCCCTGGGAGAATGGATCAGTTTGTAAGAGCAAGTGTTTAGTTCGGAGGAAGAGTGTGGAGGGGAGCAGAGCATCCGGGAAGCAAGTACCAGACAAGAGAGAACGGGGGGCTGGACTCGCGTTGGCCATGAGGGATTGATCTTCCGCCGCAGAATCCCAAAACTCTCAGCTGTTTCAACTCAATGCTTGTTCAATATGTCAAAGCCAATTTAAGACCACGTTTTTTAGTCTGCCGTCAAAGAAATTGCATTAATAAAAAAAAAAATGCGTTAAGGTTTGGGTCAGGCAGTTTAACTGATAGCAGAAGCTGGTTGGGCCCCAGGAGAAATGGGCTCCCCCTTCTGGGGAATGCAGAATCAAGAAACAGAACGCAATCGGCTGGGAAGGGAAGAACAGGGAGAAGTCCCACGTGGCTCACAGGGAAAGACGCTTCCAGGCAACTGAAGCGAAGGAGAATGTGAAGAGGCCCGGTGAGGGGCTTCGTGAGTGTCACCAGCATTTGGACATGGATGCATCTGAAGGCCAGTTGCAAGTAGGGGTGAGGCGGGGGAGGTGAAATTAGGCATGGGTTCTCGGGGCTGCCGGCCGGTGACGCTGCGGGAGGCTACTCTCCTTCCGAATGCAGGCGACAAGAAACAAGTCAGCTAGCTCTGCTGAAAACAGACGCCCTCTTCATTTTGTTTCCGAAGGGTCCTGGCCACTGCAGTCTGATGAAATAGCTTGTCTGGTTCATCCTTCCCATGGCCAAGAGTGACTAAGGAGGGCTGATGAGTCGCCCATCAAGAACGTACTGGCAAGTTTGCATGCATCTCTCTCTTCTCCCCTGGGAGGCTGGCTCCCATGGACACTGTCCTTAGGACCCCAACAACGTTCAGCCGTGGGTGGCCGGTGAGAAACACAAGAACTGAGAAGGAGGAAGAGGGAAGTTGAGAGGTTCCGGGTTCCCTCCTTGCTTCAGGCCGGATGCTGGGCCTATCCCAAGGGCCCTCCCCTATCCATGGCTCTGGCCCACACAGTTCATGGGTACCAGTCTCCTCTGTCCTAGGGTGACTGTGGCCCCCACCAATACCGACCCAGTCCCTTCCATCTGATTGGTCCTTTTTTTTTTTTTTTTTTTTTTTTTTTTTTTTGGGACCCTGATTGAATTCAAGACTGGGGGAAATGTGACAGCAAAGATTCCAAGTTCTGTCTCCGGCACCTGTGGATGTTTTAGTCGATGAGACAGCTCTTAAAAAAGAGAGCATTTAACTGGGGGCTGGCTTACAGTGTCAGAGGCTCCGTTCATTGTCATCATGGCAGGGAGCATGGAGGTAGGCAGGCAGTATCTGAGAGTTTCCCATCATGATCCAAAGGCAGCGGGAAGAGAGACAGAGGAGCTAGGCCTGGCAGGTGCTTTTCAAACCTCAAAGCCCACCCTAGTGACACACCTCCTTCCACAAGGACACACCCCCTAATCCTTCTCAAATAGCCCATCAGATGGGGACTAGGCATGCAAATATGTGTGCCTACGGGCATCGTTTCCATTTAAACCTCCCACCACAGTGGACAGCAGGCATGTTTTTCTTAAGTTGTCGGGTAGTTTCTTTGCTTTCAAATGGGAGGAATAGGTCGGTGGCTCTACAATCGGGGCTAGACATAAGGGAACTTTTTTAGGGGAAGGCAGCCCTAAAGGAAGGTTTGAGAATCAAGGCTGGCATCTTAATGTTGACTGTCCAACTTTTCAGTATCTAGTGAGTTCTCGTAACCGCTACAAAAGCCCTTCATTCACAGGGCTTGGAATAATGCCTCATCTGTCACATGTGTCCAGTATGCATTTGATGAATGAAATACCACCTTTCCCCTATGATGCTGCCAGCACTCAGCATACATCTGTCCAATGTGTACGCACGGATTCTGTATCGGGCTTGGGGATATAGGAATGGATACAGGAGAAAAGCAGGAGAGACGCTTGTACCTTTGCCCACAAACACTCTCTTCTGCAATGGTTTTCAAGGATCACTGTCGAAGAGTCCCGTGCTTTCTCTTGAGAAGCTCAGCACCACTTTCCATGACTTCCAGGCAAGTGTTATTACAAAACTATGTATTTGCCGGGCTTTGGCCAGCAGGGTATGTTGATATAATTGTTGATTTTCCTTTACATCTCTCCTGTGACTCTCCTTCAATCCTCTGAGGGGAAGCACACTCATCTACCTTTGCCAGCTAGCCCAGCAGGCTTCTTGACCTATGCAGATGCTCAATGTAATACACACTGATGTTATGATGGAAACAGTTCCCTGGGTACTGATCGTGTGAGCTTGAGGTCATCTCCAATGCTCTTTTATCCATTTTTATGGCTTAGATATTAAGGTTATGATGAGTTAAAAAAAAAATCTCAAACACCAAGGTTGGTTGCTCCCTCTTGAAGGATGGATGGGATTAACAGGGAAAGTCAGGTGTCTGGGCATCCTAAGGGTATGTAAGGCTGTTCCTCATCTTCAGATAGAATCTCACATCTCGGAAGCTTTGGTTCATGTCTGGGGTACTGATGGATGTAAACTGCTTGATTATCCCCATTTCCCAGAGCCTCTTGCTTCATTTCCTGCTACAAGGATCTCAAGGCAGAGGCCCCAGAGCTATTATTATGCCTGTTTTCAGGACCCAGCGAGCTTGAACTTGAGCATGCCTGAGCGGAAATAGATGGACAGAAGGCACAGCTGCCTCCTTGGCTGGGGAAATGGCAGTTCACTCCTCAGCCTCCTGACATGCTGGTGGTCAACAATGGAGGATCGTGTGAGAAGACCCAAGCACACTAATTGTATTTATTTGGTTATGCTAATATTGGGTAAACACAGCTGCACAACACACTTCCCTTTGTGCTGGGTTGACTGAGATCATCAGGCTCTTTATTGGTTTCTACTGTAAAATTGAAATGTTCTGAAATTTCCATCCTGGGGGTTGTCCTTCTGTATTTGCGTTTCTCTAATTGGCTGATGAATAAAACACTGTTTGGCCTACAGAGGCAGGAAGACAGGCGGGACTAGGAGACGAGAATTCTGGAAAAGGTAGGCAGAGACCAGGAAGACAGGATGCACCAGGCATTCTCCAGTGAGATAAGACCACATAGAAACACACAGGTTTATAGAAACAGGTTAATAATTAAGACAGAGCTAGCCAATAAGAAGCCCTAACCATCACCCAACAGTTTAATAACCACTATAAGTCTTTGTGTGCTATTTTGGGGGCTGAAGCGGCGGCGGGATCTGGCGGGACAAGGGAAACTTCAGAAACATTTTCATGTCTGTTTACTAGCTCCTTATCCATGAAATGGAGTATTTGTTTGCATAGATTTGGTGTTTAGCCCCTAACCCCTTGCCAACGACTATATGGAGAGTAAACGAATGAGCAAATTCATCAACCGTGCTGAAGTTCTTAACTCATGCCTTAAGATGTGGGCGTTCATAATTAATAGATAAAAGTAAACACAGTTACATTTCCCCAGGCCCTTGTACAGCTCATTCGTGACCACGGTTCAGGACATGTGGTCCTTACTTGGTCAGGAGGAAGACACATTGGAGCGTTGTTTCTGAGACCCGTGACACGGCAGCCATTTCCTTGCCTGGTGTAGTACTCGGGTACAGGTGGCCTCGGATTTATCACGCTTTGGCTTCGACTCCTCAAGGCAGTGCAAAAGCCATGTATGCCCAGTAGAGACTCTATCTACTTGGGCTCTGGACCTGGCCTCTTCCCTGAGTAGCTACATGGTCCCACCCTCTGTGGTGATGCTGGGCAGTGGCAGCAACTCCTACCTGGCCCCTCAACCACCGGGCAGGAATAGCAACAAGGACCCTACTATGTGCTGTATGGCGAGACAGGACATCCTGTAGGTTAGAGGCTTTCAAAGCATTCCGACTCGGTAATATTTGCGACCTTTGATGGGCTTACTTGGGATACCACACATCATAAGGCAAGGGACGTCTATGCATGCCACACGCCCAGATAATTTTCAGGTGTGCCCAACTTTTAAAATTTGTGACAGATGTCATCGACATACTGTTTTAAGAAGTGCTTAATCCAGTCATCCCCATCCCAAACTGTAAAACAAAGCAAAACACTGACAATAACTAACCCCCCCCCCCAAACCCTCCCAATGGCCTAAGTAATTTCATGATTCAGGGTTGAGCCACAGTCATGGCTGTGCTGTGCGTGCAGCCTATGGGTCACAGGTTGGACACACCTACAACAGAGATAATAAATAATAAAACAAAAGTAGGGGCAGTAGTGATTTTTCTGGCTTAGAGACTGCTCGACTGTCTTATTCCTGTCTCCTCTGATGTACCTTACCCCTAGTCCATACTCCCCAGGGAGGAAAGCTATCAGGCAGCAGAGTTATACCCTGATGGGAACGTTACTCCACGCCCTGTGAGTGGAGGCTAAATGGAGAGGCCAAAGGCTGCCTGTGCTTGGGCTTTCACAGTGGGACTAACCTCCTGTGACCTCCGGCTGGGCTGCTGCCCACCAGAGGGCCAGGCCTTGCTTCGCAGGAGGCAGGGATCATCTTACCTGAGAGGCAGCCCCAGCGGCTTCAAAGAGCGAGTCACATTCGCCGTCGTGGTATTTTTCCTTGCAGTCCCGGCAGAAAACGAACTGCAAGAGAGAGCACCACGCATCAGGGCTCGGTCGCATCCACTTTTATCTCTCGGGGCTCGAGTTAGGGCTTCTGTGGCCCTAACTTGGAACCAACTTGTATTCTGGTGGGACTGCCCACTGTTGGGGAGTGTTCTGCCCGCCTCAACAGGGTGACAGGGGTGAATGCTGTGTCCCGTTCCCTTATTTCCTGGTGTCCCCAGCCCACCGGAGCAGACAGCACTTATGATGAGAGGGTTCCTGGGAAGAGCCTTGCCTTCCTTCCAGGCTCCTCTTCAGTGTTTGTCTTGCAAACACAATAGGCTTATGTGGTCAGTGACCTTACTTCTTCTGTACTGAAAGCCTGGTGTGAAAAGAAGGAGTGGGCCGTTTGGGGAGTGTGTCCCTTTGTTCTCTTACATTCAGAAGGGGATGGTTTTGTCCCCCAGGGCCTTAGAATGAGGTTCCATCTGGACACGGGAGTGGCGTAAAAGGAGCCGTCAGGACGGCTCTAACTCATTAGTGTCCTTGTAGGGAAGAGATCAGAACCTGGGACACATGGGCTGAGGGATGGGCGTGTGAGGACACCGTGAGAGGCAACCATTTGTCAGCGGAGGACAGAGGCCCCGGGAGCAGCCACGAGGAGAGCAACGTTCTGCTCTTTACGGCTTCCAGCCTACACAGTTTGTTCCACCAGTCTTAGGAATCAAACGTGGGGGACGAACGAACGCAGGTCTCGTGCTGTTGGTGACGTTAGGGATGAGCACCAGGGCCTTGGGCAAGCACGTACCGCAGGGCCACACCCCAGCCCTAGCACCAGGCCCTCCCACTGGGTGATGGTGCTGCTCCCAAAGCTCAGTGACCCTGGGACAAAGACACCCGAGGACTCTTCATCTTCCAGAGAGGAGGCGGAAGTGCCAGTTGACCCAGCGCAAAGGCCCTGCATCGTAACTGGGGTAACTGGGCCCCTCCAGAAAGCGTATCGCATTTCCCCCATCGCTCGCCACAGCCAAGGCTGCTGCGGTGGCTGACGCTGGCTCCGCACTGACTCCCTGAACTGGAGTCGTCGTCCACCTGACACCTGAGATGCCAGAGGAAAGCCACCAGATGCCCGGAACTCTCAGAAGACTTCCAGAGGCTTAGGAGCTCTCAAGTTCATGTGCCAGGGAATCAGCCAGCCATTTGTCACGGCTCTGATTAAGGTGAGATGAATCTGAGCTGGAAAGCTAAAGCAAAACAACCGGTACCAATAACTCCAACTTGTTAAAAAAAAAAATCAGCTATTTCTCTTGGATTCATGAGAGACACCAACCCAACACATCCTGCCCTCATACAACCTTCCCCATGCTGGCAGCCTCCTCAGCAGCAGAGTGAACATCCTTCCAATACAAGATATGTGGGACCAGATTTAGTTAAAATTTGGCAATACTTCTCAGATTTTAGAATGTTTGCTTATATACACACAGACATAATCATTAACATGTATACACATATGTATATATGTACACACATATCGACACATACATTACATATATGCACACACATATGTATAATATACATATAATGTAACGTGAAATATTTGGGGGATTGAACACAAATAAATACATGAAATTTACTTAATACCCACACACAGCCAGAAGGAAATTGCATAAAACATTTTTAGTATTACTGTTTCTTTTTAATTTTTAAAATTTTGTGTGTTTGGGTGTTTTGTTTGCCCGTGAATCTATATAATGTGTACGTGCTTGGTGCCTGTGGAAGCCAGAAGAAGGTGTCAGATCCCGTGCTACTAGAGTTACAGGCAGATGCCATGTGGGTGCTGGGAATTGAACTCAGGACCTCTGGAAGAGCAGGCAGTGCTCTTAACCACTGAGCCATCTCTCCAGCCCTACGTCTGTGTTTGAACTGTGTCTCATCACACAGGGTCGTGACAGTGCTCAGAGTTTCAGATTTGAAGACGCTAGAGTTGTGGTCCAGGATGCTCGCTCTGCTCTGCACTTCTCACGGAAGACTGGCCTCCAGAGTGCTGGGATGTCTGCTTCACTTGCCAGCTTATCTAGGTGGGGAAGGGTGGGGAAGGGTGTGCCTCTGCCCCCACACAGATCTCCGGTACCAACAGGCTTTACTCCCTGATCATTTATTTACCGCCCTGGAGGCAGTGGGTTAGGGTTGCCTCTTATGTTCCTCTTTCTTTTTAGAGTGAGTGTATGGATCTTCCTGCTGGCCCCACCCACCACATCCTTCAGCTTTGGCATGCTCAGCTGCAGAGCTCAGTCAGCTCTGCCACAGAGAGCAAGGGGGACTGGCTGTGACTCCAGCCGCTGCTTTGGAGGGAAGCTAGTCTGATCTCTTGGCGTGACGGAAAAACCACTTCACGTCTTATTAGCCAGTGGATGAGATATAAAATCAGTTTCACGGAGCAGGGAACACCCTGGAGGTTGATCAGTTTGTCAGAATAAATAGGCCTCTCGACACAAAGACACTGAATTCACCGGTATGGTGAAAAAAGGACCAAACCAAATAAAACAAACAAACAAACACACAAAAACAAAACAAAACAACAACAACAAAACAAAAGGACACACACACAAATGATAGTAGCTGTGCCATGTCTGTGTGAACGCGCTGGCGGTGACATTAACTCATTTCCGCTCTGCTTCCATTACAAGGCTACCCCTTCTGAGCATCGCACTTGGTCCTTTCCGGTTAATGACTTGAATCTGTTGGATATAAACTGAGGAGCTGTCGAAACAGTGGTTCTCAACATGAGGGTCCATGGCGCCCTTTCACAGTGGCCACTCATCAACGCTGGGAAACACAGATATTTTACAATGTAATTCATAGCAGTGGGGAAATCACAGTTACGTAGTAGCAACAAAAATAACGTTATGGTTGGGGGTGGGGAGAGAGGTCAGCACAACAGGAAACCAAATCTCGGCACAGGCTTTGAACTCCTAGGAAACTCCAAATGCAAGGTACTGGACCCAAGAGGCGAGAGTCACAAAAGGCGGATGCCAACATTCAGGGCAGGAGTCACTGAAGAGGGAGGGCTGCAGGAGAGATAAGACCGACAGAGAGTTTATCAGGAGCGGCCAACATTAACGGGCTTCCGCCGGCAGACGGGACAACTGTCCGCGGTATAGTGGACAGACAGACTGAGCAAAGCTAGCCTGCCAAAAGCAGTACCTGTCAGGAGGGATCCCGGGCGGGCCCTGTCACCATGGGAAGGGGACAGCTCCATGTCACCGCTGCTGGGAGCAGGGCAAAAGGGAGCATAGTGACCAGATGACTGACACCTTCATCCTGGGGACGCTAAGGCTAACGGGTGTGTTTGGGCCTTACTTTTTTTTTTTCCTTCAAATTCCATCAGATGTTTAGTTCATTTTATGCTAACTTTTTTTTTGTTTGTTTTTAAACTTTCTTTTCATTTATTCTTTGTGTTTTTCCATGTCAGGCATCTTGATCCCATCCATCTCCTGTCCCTTTGTATCTACACTCTATCCTTGCAACCTCCCCTCAAAACAAAATAAAATAAAATTTTAAGAGGGAGGGAGGGAGATAGAGATAGAGAGAGAACAATACAACATGGAAAAAAAAATCTTGCCATGGAAGTCACACAGCAAAGGCTTTTAGCAGTAAACCCCTTTATTCATATATCTTTACTTGCAAGTGTTCATCGCAGAGCTATTGGTTGGGGTTCGAGGTCTCTGGTTTCTGCCTCACTATCGATGCTGGGCCCTCACTGGGACTGCTCTTGGTCCTGCTGCTGTCCTGTGTCATGGATTCCCTGCAGCTTTGCATCTGCAGGACAGCCTCTGTGCATGCTCCAGCAGAGCACAGATGGGGTGGATGTTGGGGTGGGCCAAAGGCAACCCTGCTTCTGGACCTGGGTAGTTAGTTACAGGGCTGGTCAGCCTGCCAGCTCTCTGCCCTGTCTTCACCACCAGGGGGAGCCTTCCTGCGTTGTCCTGACTAGTTGAGCAATGGGGCAGGGCCAGCTCCGCACCCACACCCTCAGGGTCAGCTCCCCTGCACCCCACACACTTTCCCAATGCTGTAGCTGATGGGGGGCGTCACCTCCCTCACCCGCCACAGGTGTCAGGGGCAAGGGGTGCAAGGCGGCTTACACTTTTAACTAAGAAAGTTTTCAAAACTTTAAAAATAATGCAAAATTAGAAAGAATAAAGACTCGAAGAAAAGGGTTCACATAGTATGCTCATATAAAAAAAATATACAAAGGGTAAGTTGTATTAAGCTGAAGATTTAATGTCAAAAAAGAAGTATGTACATGTATACATGTATGTGCTTGTACATGTGTGCGGGCGTGTGTGTGTGCGCGTGTGTGTGTGCGCGTGTGTGTGTGTGCATTTACTGTAGCTAAACACACAGTGTGCCAAAAGTCTGACGAGGTTTACAGTGCTGTCCTGGGCCTTCACACTCACAACTGTCCACTCTTGTCACCCAGAGCCACTTTCATGCCTACAAGCTCTGTTCCGTGTCAGCGCCCTAGGTAGAAATGCTGTTTTAAAAACCCTTCACTGTGCTCTTACTGGATCTTTCTATGCTGACATATATTTAGATAGACAAATGCTTGCCGCTGTGTGATGCCTGCCTGCGGCCTTCAACACAGTGGCCTGCTGTGCAGATAGGCAGCCGGGCACCACAGGCCCTTGCCTACCCCTTAGGTTTGCCAGAGGCTGAGCTTCTTAGGGTGTATAAGTCCAAGCCTCGGTGTTTCCACATGATGACGACGAAATCAGCTAATGACAAACTCTCGGGGCACATCCCCATCTTTACGGGACGCATGGCTGCATCTAAAATTTAGACCAAGCGAAAGAACAGCATGCTCCAGTTCACAAAATAGTGTGTAGGAAATTTATATTTAGAAACGTAGCCCGGTGTGGTGGTGCACACCTTTAATCCCAGCCCTCAGGAGGCAGAAGTAGGTGGATCTCTGAGTTCCAAGCCATCTTGAATATACCATGGTGAGAACCTGTTAACCAAACCAAACCATATGAGGG